TCCGTGCATCAATGAATACACCCTTCTCAAGGGATTTGTTGAAAATCAATAAAATCAGATACGATACGAGCAGAACAAACATGAAGACAAACCATCAACATCAGTTTGAGTAAAAAATCTGATTTGCTGGGTTACATTTTATACTAACAATAAGGAGCAAGAACAAAAATTAATAGGGGTATCGGTATTCAAGAAAAAATCACCAGATAAATCAATTCAAAATTTGAGCTAACAAGTTTATAGTTTGTTTGTTAAACAAAATAACTCAGACGATTGCGAAAATTCAGAGCACTAAAAATTCACATCCGAATTGTATCTACTTAACACAATCATATCACTTTCGTAGATTTCACGAAAGTCGCTCCAAATTAAAATTAAAATTTTTGGAATGTGACGAGCAGTGACATTCTGAAAATCGATATCGCTCTAAAATGTAACATATAGATTTGGCTGATTACTAGACTGCGGATGTTTATGCAGAAAACGAAGTCTAAAAGTATGTATCATCTAACTATAAGAAAAATGTATAAATTTTTATACGGACGCGCATGTTTATGCAGAAATCTAAGCTTAAAAATATGTACCACATAACTATAAACAAAATGTATAAAAATTTATAAATTTTTCTTAAAGTTAAGTGGTACATAAGTATGCGAAATGTACTGATTACATAGTGTCTCTGTTACTTTTTCGTGTTGCATACTATTAGGAAACGCTGCTTTTCATTTAGAAAATTTTGCTTAAGTTAATTTCGCGTAGCGATTGTCAGAAGCACAGTGCAGTCGGTGTAGTTTTCCACAATTTCAAAATACAATTTCGAAATTTGTTTGTTTGTTTAATTCCATGATGGAATAATAACAAGGTGTTGTCAGTTACTTAACCTCACTTTTTCGGCAGGTCTATTCCGGTCACGCATTTTAAAGTAGTAGAAAAGGTATTAGTTATTTACTACTCTTAATCCGTTGGTGCATACTATTTCAAATTAAATGTAGAAAAATGTTTAATTACAGGCTTATAAGCCAGGGCATGAATCACGTATGACGACAATCGTCTGAACGATATCGTGTCGAGATTGTCTTGCTTCATGAAAACCAAATATTGCACAAATGCATAAATCAGTGTTTTGACGACGTAATTCTGTTAGTATCGTTTGAGCGACTATCCTTTCAAAGTTACGTTACGGCAGCTCCACACAGCTTGGACATATATTGTAAGTTTAAAAAAGTAAAGGCGGTAAAATAAGGCAATTTCCTATAAGACTGTAAATGATTTTTTAAATGGACTAAAAAACATAAATATCGATAATATAAGCGGACTACTAATTTAACCATGCAGTCACTCTATTCTAGCGGATCAGTAGTCCATTTGGCTCAATATTATGACAATGCAGCAAAAGTTATT